AGAGAGAGAGAGAGAGAGAGAGAGAGAGAGAGAGAGTACGATGAATAGAGAAGGGAAGGGGCGGGGGGCTTAATGCCGAACAGACTAGGGTGCATTCCACAGAGGCGTGTTTTTCTATGTTGCGACCAGGCCAAGTGCAATAGAAATATAGAAATGGCAGACAAAAAGTAGTAGAACAATCTACACACGTCGATGCCGAAAGCGGTTCTAGACCATCTGAGCCTCCCCCGCTCACCATCTCTACCCCCATCCCACCCCATCTTCCCAACCGCACCCCAGGAGCCTCACTTCAGAATCAGGGTTAAACGATAATGCATACTACGTGTACACGCTATGCCCAAAACCATTTTCTTTTTCATCTCGCTTCACCAACTCAGGTCTAACGTAACACACACGAAGGAGGACAAAGTATAATGTGTTTATATTAACAGAAGATACTAAACTGTGCTACAGTAATGATGTGAAAGGCGAAATGAGAAAAAAAAGTAGCGGAATATGAGAAGTAGAAAATTCGCCACTGCAATGGGCTGACTTCGAATAATAATATGATCATCATTAATAATGATACTATCGATGTGAGGGCTTTTTCGTGTAACAGTTACAAGGCATGGGCAACAGGTTACTTTCTGAGTCTCTTAAGTGTTCTATAACTTCGAGAAACATTGAACAAGAAAAAGATAAAGGAAGAATGCTGCTGTTTAGAAAGTGTCTATCGAATAATAATAATATCCATCGGCAATACCAAGAAACATTAGTAAGCTTACTACCTCTTGAAACGGCAGCACAACGTAAGCGTTCTACGAATACTTGTAGTGCTAACTAAAGCCGGCCTGTTACCTGTATCACAATTTCAGAAAAAAAAGAGGAAAAACTGAAAAATTCTGCTAGTGTCACGGTGGTAAGTGTGCTTACCTTGGCACCGATCTGGTTACCGCACTGTCCGGCCTGAATGTGGACGATCTCACGCATGGTGCTTTATGATGTGGGTCGTGAGTACAAAGTCACACAAAGTATTATCAACCTTTGGTTGTTTTTTTGAAAGTTGCGAGTCGAGCAACGAGCCGAAGGCAGCTCTCTCGTTTTATACCCGGGATGTCGTGAGGGCTTGACCCGTCACGTGATGCCGAAATGACGGAGCGTCCCTAGTAACCGGGGTAGTGGCGATCCGACGTGGGGGGATAATAAACGGCGGGCACCTTGCTCCCGGGTGGAAATGTAAGGAGTTTGTGCCAAGTATGAATAATAATATTAAAGATAATCCCCCCGAATGCTGGTCAGAGCAGGAGAGCTGCTTTTGGCGCGACGTACGTCGAGGCGGCTGGTGGTGCGCTCTGTCGAGGCTTGTCTGATTCACACGTGAGAGGACGGGGAGCGCGCGCCAATGTAATCCGCCCTCTCGGGTAATAGAGAGGTTGCGGTTGTCCAGATACGACGACGAAGAGAGAACGAAGTTTGCTGGCTGCTATTTTTATCGCATAGGATGAGTAATAGTTGGGGGAGAATGAAAGCTAGGGTAGTGCATGAACGATTGGAACTGAAAAGAAAGAATGTAAATTAATATCAGCCGTCTTCCTTTTTTTTTGCATTTTGTTTTCTGACAGTGTAGAAGGATCATATAATACGAAGTCATGTTATTTTTTTAAAGCAATGAGAGAAGAAAAAAGAACCCCGTGAAATAGACGCTTCTGTGGTACTTTCCTAATAATA